TATACATGTATTTCTATTCATATTGTTCGGATTAGATGGATAATTCCTATATGTAAACCATTCCAAATTTTCCATGCACTTTTTATCCTGTGATGTTCACGCCATGAGACTCACCGGCTTGCCAAACGACACCAGAAGTGTTGATACGTTCTATTCCCCATGGACATGTTTTGAGGAGACTCAGCTCTAGTCACAAGTCAAAGATTTCATCAGGGTAAAGTAAAAGCTTCGGTGAAATTAATTCAATTCTTCATTGAGTGGCTACCATAATACTATAATCAACAATTGATCAAACGTACCAGATATTTCTAGCTGTATAGATAACAAAAGCATAGGGTATAATCATCCTCTTCTTTCTTGTTCTACCTCTCCTCTCATAATTCTAAACAATCATTCAAACAAACCCCCATTCTCTCCTAACACCTTCCCATTCCCCAGCCCCTACAATCTCTACCTCTTTTCCCCTCCCTGCACCCTTCCCTTCTAAATCCTTCCACCTCAGATCTACCTTCGCAGCCACATTTCTCTCCCCGTCTCTCTTCAACCCCTTTCTTCCAGTTCCAACTCCTCTACCAACATTCCCCTCCCTCTCCCCCAACACTCTCCCCTTCTTCACAACCTCCTCCTTCCAAGCCCTCCAATCCTCATACTCCTCTCTCTGTCTCGCAACCCAGTACCCTGGTGTACTCTTTGCCGGTCTCCACTTGCCCCTGTCCGCTTTTATGGCACCCAAATCATAAATTCTCGAATTTTCTCCCGTAGCCAACGTCAAGAGTTCGCTTAGCACATCTTGACCTTCTGCTATGACCAATGCTTTCCTCTGTTCCTCAACGGATTTAGATTTAATCAACGGTTCATCTAACCAAGACATATTTTCGCGTTCCGAAAGTTTAACCCGACGATTATCTTCTCGGAGATAACGAACTGCAGCTTGCAGACTAGCAATTTCAGTCTTGAGCGCATCCATTTCCCTAGCAGTAGCAACAGCGCGTTCCTGGCCTGCTTTAGAACCAGATACGACTTCACCCAGTGCTTTACTTTCATCCGCAATCTTCTTCCACTTCTCGCGATCAGCTTCCATAGTTGACAATTCTTTGTTTTGAAGTTCGATTGCTTCAGCAAGTTCTGCTTCACGATGCTTGGCAACTTCGATTTTGCGCTCGAGTTCATTAATACGTTCGTTTTTCTTGGTAGCGTCTCTCATGCGACTCTCTAAAAGTTCTATTTTAACAGATGATTCTTCGAGAGTTTGATCACGTAAAGCGATAAGACGGAGACGTTCATGATTGTCTTCTTTGAGACGACGGAGTTCTTCTTGGGTGTCAACGGTTACAGTCTTGGAAGATTTCAGTTCTTGAGATCTGAGAATCCAAGGGGCTGTTGCAAGCTCAAATTCTAGGGTTTTGTCGAGATCGGATGTCAAGGTTGAGAGATCGATTAGTTGATTGTTGAGAAGTTTAAGCTTATTCGAGTAAGTAGAGAATAAGTCGGATTCATCAGTTGAAAGTATGTTTGAAGTGGTCTGGTAGATAGTACTTTGAACCTCTACATATGTGTATGGCTCGGCTCTACCTTCTTCATGTAACACCGTGAACAGGTCGTTTCCTACATGACGTGTGTATTCTGTAAGTTGTTGAGTTGCCAATTCGCATTGCTCAAACGATTCGATAGTGTCAGGCATAAGTGATAATGATCGAGCTTTCATGTCTTCAATCTCTCTGACTGCTTTTCCGACAATGACCTTTGCACTGCGCGTCTGGGTAATGACTGCCTCGGTCTTCTTGGAGAAATGTTCAAAGAGCTCATCATCTTCCTCTTGACTGGGTATGATAGTTTGGACCATTGTTCTCGTAGATGAAATTGCTGCTGCAGCATTTTCCAGCTGGCTCTGCATGACAAGAGTACGCATATGAACTTCGTCAGCATAATTAGCAAGACTATCCCCAAGGTGAACCTCTGCAAGATGAGACATAAGAGCAATAGTACGTTGCAATTCGCTAGCACACTGCTTTTCCTTCAATTCGTCTCTTCTTAAGCCATCTATCCACCCATTAAGTGCTCTCTCAACAGGTTCAAGTTCGTATAGTGCGCCCTCGTATTTGCCGAATTCCTCTATTGAGCAGTGACTGATGGCATTGACAAAACGGCTACACATGGCACCAACCCATACGAGTTTGTCAAGAACATCACATCCAGCAAATATATCGTCCTCATGGCCGGTGGGTGGCTGTCCGTTTACTCTCTCCTTAACAAATCCGTGTAAAAGATTTGCTTTGAAAGCCACACGTCGGAACCTTAGCAATGCCAAAACCGAATCCCTCTCTGAATTAAATTGATCTGGTAAGAATAATTGAACGATTGACAAATGTTCCGATGCCTCCTGAGCATCTAAGCGACGTAGTTCTAAGTCGATTGTCTTCACCTGTGTTTTAGCGGCAGAAACTTGGAGCTTCATATTCAAGTCTTGCATTGCACGTGTTCGGCTGTTCAATTGTTCCGATTCTGTCTCTGTGACGGCGTGTGATGCTCTTATATCTTCCAAGTCGCTTTGTAGACTAGTGACTAGCTCACGGAATCTTGACAAGGTATATTCCATATCATCCAAGGTCTCATCTTGTTGGGCTGCTCGTCTTGCTTGCTCATTAATAATGCTTTCCTTGAAGTCGATTTCTTCCTGCATCTCCTTCTCGGTTTCGACGTGATTAATCTCGAGTTCATCGTTAAGTTCTTTCAAGCTTTCGAGGTCCTCAATTGTAACTTTCAGTTCCTCAATTTGCTCACTCATACTCATATTTCGATCAGTCAGTTCCTCAATCATGTCTTCGGCACCTAGAGCATTATCGAGTTGTTGGCGGAGATCTTCAATAATTGCTTCTGACTGAGCAAGTTTTCCCTTCACCACATCATAATGTTCCTTAACACTACCGAGCTCTCGAACGTCTTCTTGTAGACTCTTGATTTCGTCTTTAAGCTCGGCCTCAGCTTGTTGTGTCAGATCTCGAAGCCTGAGAAGAGCTTCCGTTAATCGTTCATTCTTTCTCTCCAATTGCAGATAACTTTGACTAGTCTTCTCTTCTGCACTCATTTCTCCTCCCAATTCTGCATTCTCTTCTCGCAATACCTCGACCTCCAACTCCAACTCTTCAGTCTTTTGTTTCAAGGCATCCAATTCAGTTCTGAGCACTTCGGCTGTTTCTTCTGCCATTTCCCTATCCAGGGTTGCCATTTCAAGTATCGATTCATGTTCGGCTTGCATACCTTCCACTTCCTCAAATCTAGCAGCAAACTCTTTCAATTGTTTTCTCAAGTCCGTTATTTCTTGTTGCTGAGGTTGATATTTTGTCTGCAACTTCTGAATAATTGCCTCGAATTTCTCCTTTTCAGCTTGGACATTTTCCAAACCTTTCAGCTTCTCCCTATCCTCCATTCGCTTCTTCTCCATCACCCTTAGCTTTGTTTTCAGGTCTTCAATCTCTCTGCTAGCCGCCGTGCTCGTTGCAACACGCTGTCCAGCTGGTGATCCTGCTGGCGAAGCTTCTCGCCCGGTCCTAGTAAATATGGGGCTTGAAGCTTGCGGAGACAACTGATCCGTATCACTCCTCAGTGAGGGTGACAGCAATCTATCTTCATCAACCGTGTCATGGGTACCATCACTGACTTGACTAGACCCTGATGGTGCGCGGTCCGGAGCAGGTCGAAGTGTGCGTTTAGGGGCCAAAGAGGTGGGACGAGAAGCAGTCGTCCTTGTCGCAGGTCCCCCTACCCTATTTGCCACACCACTACCTCCAGCTAATGGTTTTCCTCGTCCTCCAGGTGGAGGTGGTGGGCCCATTGATGTTCGACTCACAGATGATGGCCGAGGTCTTGTAACGCCGGCAGAGGGCGCACGAGAATTCGCAGGTGTTCCGGTTCGGGAAGTTGAGGCAACTGAAGTACCTGTGGAGTATAGTTGCTTTGTAGGGGATTTTGTGGGCGACTAGATGTAGGATTAGAACTTGTATGGCATCAATATGAACGTATACATACACGAAGGCCTGAAGGGCCAGAGGGATGTCTTCCCATGGGGCTTGGACTTGGAGCATTCATGCTTTTCCTCTTTACGCCATTATCTGGCACAGAGTTTGTTCTTCGTGCCGCCGGGGCAGCAACGCTGCTTGGTCGACCAGGTTTCTTTGCTGGCGCAGGTGCTTTTGGAGGTGGTGCAGGTCGATCGATAATAGCAATAGTAGAAGGGCGAACAAACATTCCTTTGCCCATCTCGCACTGAAAATATCGCCTTCCCAAGACACTGCCATCATTTTTACCCCCTCCATCCTCTAATTCAACTCCGACCCAGTCCCCTGAAGCAAATATTGGATCCGTCCCTATCCATAGAATAGTTGCTATAGCACCATTTCCAAGCTCCACTGTTTGGCCAATTTCGAGTTCGGCCATGATGTGCGAATCATCTGAGAAGTATTGAAACTGTAGTTGGATAGTATGCGTCTAGAGAAGCTGCGGGATTTATCGTTGCTAAGTAAATAATCGAATTATTGACAAATAATTGTCGTTGTCGCGTTCGCGTTGAAACAGTTTGTGGTTACGTAATCATGAAGTTGTCCGTGCTGTTGGTAGGCTCGAGGTAGGTGTTGTTGGTGCGACATTTGAGTGAAAGAATTCATAATATGCAAGTCAATAATAAATTCACTTTAATAATAAATTTCCCCTTTGGAAGATAACAATTGTAGGCAAATATTTCTTATTCAGTCTCTTTTAAAATATATTTCAAAGTGATCACATCATATGTGCATCCCCGCTCACCCCTTAATCAAGTCCCCCCGAATGCAAATGTTTACAATAACACATGTGGTTTGTCTGCATTATGGACGCGGGAATAAGTAAAACTTGTTGTAGTCGAAGACTATGGTATCATTTCATAAAACTCCGTCTCGTACAAAATTGTAAAAGAAAATAATCACATTCTACCCTCCGCACTTACACATTTCACCACACTATTCCAACTACAAAAGCATGATAGCAGCACCCACAACCGCGGCCACCGCACCTCCCAAACTATCTCCTCCAATCCTCTTCTCGCTTCCTGATGTGCCCGTAGCGGCACTGGGGGCTGTAGTTGTCGCCGTAATACCACTGGTGAATGGCGCGATTGCTGCACTAGTTGCGCCCGAAAAGGCAACAGGCTGCTCAGTCGCAGTAGGGTTTGTAACGGCAGTTGTGTTAGAGGGGTTGAGAACGTTGTCAATAATGTGCATGACTCCGTTAGAAACAATGATGTCGGCACCGATGACTTCGGCGCTGTTGGCGAAAATTTTGGAGTCTTCTGAGGTGACAGTGAGGGATTCACCCATGAGCGATGGGAAAGATTCATTGGCTAGCCCGGTGGAGAGGAGAGTGGAGTAGCCGACCTATGAATGGGTTAGTTAAGAAGTAAGGAATTGCGAGAGTTAGAGAGAAACTTACAGTGCCGTTGAGAACGTGGTATTCGAGGATTTGACTGAGTTGCGTTGTAGGTAGAGCAGCAGCTGTGTTCCCAATTCTCTCAAAAGCTTCATTGGAAGGAGCGAAGATAGTGACATCCTTGAGGGATTCGACTGGTGCTATGAGGGAAGTAGTTTTAAGAGCACCCGCAAGAGACAACAGGTTTGAGTCGATGGCTGACATGGATGCCGAAATAGGGATAGTAAGAACTGTATCAACGATGTGCATCACGCCTCCATTGAACATGATATCCTGATTCATGTTAGTTTGTTTTCGCAACAAGTCCAAATGACGAAAAGAATTGAGTAATTGCTTACAGTCTGTGTTGTAGTACTTTTCTCTTTTAATCCGGTAGTCACAACAGCATTTGAACCAACAAGCGCAACCTGTACTACCTGTCCACCTGTGACTTGGGTGTAGCTCTCATTCTTCAGAAGAGTTGGAATGAACTTTGCGTCCTTTGAAAACATGCTGGCTGGAAATGTACCGTTCAAAACATGATATTGAAGAACAGCAGCAACAACATCGCTTTGGCCAGCTGCGGCCTTATTTGCAGGCGTCGCAAGGAATTTCGTGAACGCCGCGTTGTTTGGTGCCAGAACTGTGATTCCTGATGAAGTATTGGAGGAGAGCGCGCTTACTAGTGCGGGCTGTTGTCCGAGAAGCACTGCGAATGTTAATATAGTAATGTAAGAGGAATACCATACAACTTACTGGAAAGAGTAGATAGAGTTTCGTTATTAGCTACGATCGCTTGGGATAACGTCATACCAGAGGTGCTAGCAGCAGCTACCGAGGCAGTATTATTTGTCGCTGGGGCGTCAGTGATCGATGCAGTGACGCTTGAGGCGAGGAGCGCCAGCGAGAAGAGTGATGGTGTATACATTATTCTGAAAGAGATTGGTAATAGAATCAACTATTACTCAACTATATTCTGCTCTGCAAGTATTAAAAAGGAATAAGTAAGACTGGATAATTATCAAAATCACCGAGCAAAGAAACAACAAGAGGGACGGAGAGGAGAGATATAAGAGATACTAGAGGGAGATCTCCCTCAAGGGCAAAGCGGAATTGGAAACGCTCCGCAGAGAAAAAGTGCACTTTCAAGCACATCTTCCCGACTAAAACTCTTGAGCTATAAGTTTTTGATGCCGGAAAATCACATATGTGGTAGATTTTAGCATAGGGAAAGTAGCACAGACACGAATTGAGTGTGACAACTAATTACAGTAACAGGGTTGAATGTTTGAAGCACACTTGCAAAACCCTAGAACCTCCACATAAGAGGGGTGGCGATTGTTGGTAACAATTTCTAATAGAGAAACACACACTAGAAAGCTTGAATTACAATATAAGGATAAAAAAATAAGGTTAATTGATAGCTAGAGTGTATGTGAAACGAGCTGTGGTCAGATCTCGAATGCGGGGTATGATAGGTCGCATGAAATGTCAAAGCCCTTCAAACACGAAGAGAAACCATTGAAACGAACAGCATTTGACTTTGGTCAAGGATCTTATTCGATTCTTGTATGCTGCTTGAAGAAGAGCCATCAAGAGGTATCTGAAGAGCAGATTGTATGAAAATGATCAAGAACTGCCATCAGTTTATGTAGGATTTTTCGAGGAGGGGAAGTTTGAGTTTATTTCATCCTAGCCGACTTTCAAAGATGCATTTGTTGCGAGCTCATTTTGGAGACCAGTGAACTGGTCGAGGAAAAAAGCTGACACCTAGATACGTTTATGATGTTGGGCTGAGCACTTGTCTCATGACGAAAGACTGAAGCATACCAAGAACATCGAGTCTTGGAATCAGCATGTTTGCGAATTAGTTGGGTCAAGTAAACGTGGCCATTTAGAGGGAGCAAGTAACCTATAAATAAGATTGAAAATCAAGAAGAAACTTGGTAGGATGATTCATAACATTATTGGTATTCGCCTGACAAGCAAAACAGTGTTATGTGCTCTAAAGTGTACTTGGAGTTAATCTTCAGTCCGTTCCAAAAACCCACTGGAAACGATGCTGGCGATTTGTATGAGCCCTAGGGTTTTCATCCCTGGCAAATACCGCCATACCATCAAATTTCCCATCGTCCTGAGAGATTCTTCTATCAAAATCTCAAGACCATTAACCAGTAAGTTCCTTGATGAAGGCTCCTGGGGCAGGAAAGAGAACATTTCTCTTCTTCTTGTACTTATCGCCGAAATCGACACGGTATTGCTTTTCCTTCTTAACAGCCCATTGCTGCATTTGTGCTGTCCCAACGATAGCGAAAATGACCGTACTCAAACTCTTAGTCACCAAGATCATACCAATCCACGCGAGCGTCTCGAAAAAATAATTAGGGCATGTTACCATGGAAAATCCGTAACCCTGGGGAATTCCACGTTCAGTCCCTCCCGGCGAGCGAAGGTTGGAGAGAGTAAGATGAGTTTTGAGATTAGAAAGCTCGCCAAAGAGGTATAGAGCCACTCCAGCCATATTCAGATAGTCAATCTTCGAGGATGAGAGGGCAGTGTAGGATGAAGGGGCATATATAAAGTAGGCGATGTAGAGACCGCTAAGAAGCCAGTAGTGAGCGCAGTTTTTGAAGATATTTCTAGCTGGCATTGTAGACAGGGAGAAACGGTGAACGAAGACGGTCTCATATTCGCGTTTAAGAAAATGAAGAACTATGAGCGACATAGAGAGCAGCTGAGAACTCGAGAGGGGGGCAATGGAGGTGGTAGGATGAGAGTAGATATAAGGGCGGAGGAGGGGAAATCCAAGGTGGATTAAGATAGGACCGAGGTATTCGATTATATAGACGGTACGCCAGCCTAATTGAGGACCTAAAGTAGATTATAAATGTAAGTTATGATGCTTAGAATCGAGTGATGAGTTGCAGATATATACCTAGGTCCTTGATCAAGATTTCCTTTCCAGTGATCACTTCTTTATGTTGAGAAATGAATGCTTTCCTGTCTTTTAAGATCTTCTTCTGTTCTGGATCGAAAATACCAAATCTATTGGGGTCCCAGCCGCCGGCTTGCTTAGCCAACTTATCTTTAACATCTTGAACCGTGGTCGTTTCGTCGATATCAATCGAGGTAGGGAGACGTTTGATGGGGTTTTTGGGAGCTTTGAAGATTAGCTTTTAAGAATGTTCAATGGCAGCAGAATGAACAACTTACAGCGATTTGTGACCTTTAATGTGACTGCCATCTTGGAAAAATCGACAATGTATGATCCGAAGGGATTGATCAAGATTGCTAAAGATTTGAGAAGACGGTGCTGAGCTCGGGGGAAGTAATAAGTGAACGAGGTGAGCTTGCTTGTTGGCTGTCGATCTTCAAAATTATTTGACTTTTGACTATTGACCAGGCCAATTGGTCCAGGCACGGAATATCCGCCACCAATTCACCGATCATGATGATGATCATCGTAGGGAGATCCAACGCACCCTGCCAACTGTACGGTCTAGGCCTAATTAAAACGATACTTTGGCAGTACTCTGTACTCTTGTGCTCGAGATACTTTGAAGTCTAATTAAACTCATGAAAGCAAAATTATAGACCAGCTCCCTAGTACCTCTCTACAGATCTATCTAGAAAGGATCTAGAAAGGTATAGATATCAAAATCAAGCTACATGAAAGCGGTGAATGTAGATCATTCATCACATGATATGGTAGACCCAAAGTTTGGTTTAGTATGTTTCATTCCAGTCTCTCTCTCTCTCTCTCTCTCTCTCTCTCTCTCTCTCTCTTCCCCCCCTCTCCCTCCTCCTTTTTGTTGACTCTCACTTGTTCTCATTGTAAATATAAATACCTATTTCAATTCGTTTCCCCCTCCTGTAACCCTCTCACTTCAATTGGATGGGCATATCATACCGAGTGGTTCAATTGGTTGATAAATCATGAGGTCTATCAAATACAACTTTACCTTGCATTACAGCCCTCCACAATCCTTGCTCTGCAAGCCATCTTCTCCTCACGGTTCTGCGAGAAGACAAATTCGGATGTTTTGAGCTTCAGCAGCCCCTGAAAAGAGGAGATTGAGGGGTTGAGCTGCTGCGCAGTAGCCAATGCTTTTTTATCCACGAAGCACTCAAGTGGGACTTCTTCACGTCCCTAGAGCTTCATTTTCAGTAGCATCAAAATTACACCAACACACACATCCTGCAAAGTAAAGCAAATAGTGTATCTGTTGTAGGGTTCTATGCCGTTGGCAAAATCCTCTCACTTCTCCAGATATCGGCTTGCGGGGTCGGGTACAATGTTGTGTTCTCAATAAACCAATCATATATTGGAGTAGGTTTCAAACTTTTTAATATCGTCTACCTTGTGACATGAATTTCCGTGTATGAGCCAAGCAAAACACAAACCTGAGAGATCGTTCGATTTTGAGATCCGAATCGAGCTATCGGAGAATGTTATAAAACTTTTTGTTTGACCACCAAATCTCGATCTAGAGACTCAATAATAATATCACGTCCATACATTGAATCTTTGGGATAATATCGAGTAGTGTGGCAACTTAATGATACATCAAGTGCAAGCATTTCCTATCAAGTAGCGCGCCATGTCCAAATCTGCGACTTTGCATACATTCAGGTCTCACTCAATCTGAAGATTGTCAACGCATTGTCCAATGAATTACTAATATTTCAGCCTCTGGGCATTTTCTGAGGTAACCCTTCAATTTGATATTCACAGGTTTTGATTGGGTTACAATGAAGGGGACATCAATTCCACTTTCTCTTCAAGCTGCAACACGGCAGGAGCTATCAAATCGAGGGGAGAGCTTCCCTTCCCCCTCAATTGCTTACCAGGTAGCTCAGCTTACAACCTCTTTCTTTTACTCCTTCTTACATTACTTTTCCTTTTCCTTTTACTCTCAAACAAAGCTATCTATAGCCTGTTCTTCTCCTCTCGTTCGAGGGTACAAATCATACATATACTTCAGTAGCACCTTGATTCAGCCCATACCACGCTCTCTCCTCTCTTAACGCAACTGATAATCAGTTGTTCCCAAGTAAGTAATAAACAGCACGATGCACTCTAGCTTCCTATTATATTGTTGTTTACATTTGTCGTGTCTTCAGACCAAAACTAACGCTCCAGTAGAGGCTAATCCATTGATCCAATTGCAATGATGAGACGCCTTTCGAGTGTTTTTAAAAGTAAAGACAAGGAAAACACTAAATCCTCACCTGCTTCTGCCGAAAATGGAGCAACCTCATCAAGCGGCCCAGCGCGTCGTTTGACTTTAGGTGTGACTAGAAAGTCCACTAGTGGTACTGCAAGCTCCAATCCTCAAGTATTCGAAGGTCCCGATCATAGTGTAAAACGCGCTGGTATCGTAGGAACTCTCGAGTCACTCGGGAAAGTCATTAGCACAGCCAATCGTCCTTTAAACACCGAGACTGGGGATGGCTCATACGACACAAAACAAGAGCAGTCGGGTTTATGGGATGATCTCAAAGCATTGCGAATTAAGGATTTGGAGACATTGCAGATGACTATAAAGCAAGAAATAGGATCTTCAAATCTGGCAGATGATAAGACCATGTTAATGGAGAAGCTTATTCAGGTAAGGCTGACCCTCGACTTTCGACATACAAAAACTAAGACTCGATAGTTGGTTGCCAACCTTCCTGGAACCTCCAAGACTCGAGTTAAGCTTACGGAAGTACTTGTTGATGAGCTATGGGGATCCTTGGAACATCCACCAGCTTCGATGCTTGGTGACAAATATAATTATCGACAAGCCGATGGCTCGTGAGCATACCGCCAGAACCATTCAGGTTATTTCTCCAACTAATCCTTATTCATAGATACAATAACATCAAGTTTCCCGATATTGGAAAAGCAGGCACAGCATACGCTCGAAGTGTTACTCCAAAAATCGTTCAGCCAAACCCAAAACCAGATCCAGGCCTCATATTCGACACAATTATGAGTCGAGAAAATGGTGGATTCAAGCCCCACCCGAACAACATTTCCAGTATGCTTTACTATATTGCAAGTATTATCATTCATGACTGCTTTCGCACCTCACACGAAGATTTCAATATTTCAATGACTTCCTCTTATTTAGATCTTTCTCCTCTGTATGGAAGTAATCAGGATGAACAAAATAACATGCGAACACTAAAGGATGGAGAACTAAAACCGGATTGTTTCTCTGAGAAGAGATTATTAGGCTTTCCTCCTGGAGTTGGATGTATTCTTATTGTAAGTTGCTTATATGAACCGTAGACCTGCAACTAAAGCGTAATAGATGTTCAATCGTTTCCACAACTATGTAGTGAAACAATTGGCGACAATAAACGAGAATGGTCGCTTTACACCCCCCAAGGACAATCTATCAGACGACAAGAAGCAAGCAGCCTGGAAAAAGTACGATAATGATCTCTTTCAAACCGGACGGCTTATTACTTGCGGTCTCTACATTAACATTATTCTACTCGATTATCTCCGTACAATTGTCGGTTTGAATCGGGTCAATTCTACCTGGTAAGAGTTGTTTGAATGGAGACAAGAAATGTGTATAGCTAAAACTCAATAGGACTCTTGATCCTCGGATCGAAATGGAAAGAAATAGCAAGCCCGGAACTGCCGCTGGAGTCGGGAATCAATGTGCCGCTGAATTTAACCTGTAAGCCTTGCTATTAATTGCCTTCTCATAATTAAAGCTAATTGTATGTAGCGTGTACCGATGGCATTCCTGTATCAGTCAACGTGATGAGAAATGGTCAGAAGAACTATACATGAAAATCTTTGGAAAGAGCTACAAGGAAGTCACTATGCAGGAGCTTCTCATTGGTTTGGGTAAGCTCGAAGCAATGACACCAGAAGATCCCCTGCAACGAGACTTCGCTGGTATGAAGAGAGGCACTGATGGAAAACTCAATGACGATGATCTTGTCAAAGAACTGACCGCCAGTATTGAAGACTTGGCTGGGTCATCAGGAGCAAATAACGTTCCCGCAGTCCTTCGTGCTGTTGAAATCCTTGGGATGGAACAAGCTCGTGCATGGAAGTGCGCAACTCTAAATGAATTCCGCAAACACTTCGGCCTCATACCACATGAAAAGTTCTCAGATATTAATTCAGATCCAGCCGTCTACGAGAAATTGAAGGTTCTGTTCGATGAGCCCGATTTGGTCGAACTTTATGCTGGATTAGTTTGTGAAGATGCCAAGGCGCCAATGGATCCAGGTGTTGGCATTGGACCGACCTATACAATTAGTCGTAGCATTCTTTCTGACGCTGTGACATTGGTTCGTGGTGACAGATTCTATACCACCGACTATCATCCAGCAAACCTTACGAATTGGGGTGTCACTGAAGTCAAGTATGATTTAAACGTCAATCAAGGTTGTGTTTTCTACAAGTTGTTCATCCGAGCTTTTCCAAATCATTTCTCGCATAACAGCATCTATGCCCACTATCCTCTTACGATACCGTCTGAAAATAAAAAGATTATGGAGAAACTTGGCCGTGCGAATGACTACAGTTGGGACAAACCAGTTAAGGTTCCAGAACGAAAGAATATCGTCACCTATGATGGAGTCAAGAGTGTTCTTACTAACGCGGAAGCATTTGGCGTTGATAATTGGCGCAGAGGTCTTGCTTACCTCATGGGAAAACCAGGTATTTAAGCTCGTTGCGAAAGCTACACGCTCAGTACTAATATGAACTTAGGTGCCAATTTCATGTTGGCTGGTGATGGCGACTTCTTTGCCGAGCGTCGAAATCAGATGAAGGAATGCCTTTATCAAGACAAATGGCACGAGAGTGTCAAGAACTATTACGAAAGCATTGTCCCAAAACTTCTCAAAAGATGGTCCTACAATATCGGTGGCACGACCAACCAGGTTGATGTCATTCGCGATATTGATAATTCCGGTGAGAATCTCGTCAACTTGGTCCCTTTTGTTTTTATCTAACACTGCCTAGCTCATGTTCACTTTGCCGCCAACGTTTTTCACCTACCACTCAAAAGCGAAGATAATCCCAAAGGTGTATATACCGAGCATGAATTGTACATGGTGTTGGCTGTCATCTTCATCGTAATCTTCTTTGGTGACGTCGACCCAGCCAAAACCTTTGCACTACGTGCTGCCGGTCTTCCGGTCACACAGGATCTTGGTCAACTAGTCGAGCAAAATGTGAACTTCATCTCAAAGACTAGTCTTGTATCAGGTATCGTTGATACTTTCATGGAAGAAAACAACGCGCTTAAAGATTATGGTGTGCACATGGTACGCCATTTGTTGAAGGCTGGCTTGGGTGTTCATGAGACTGTGTTAGTATATCCTTCATTCATTCATTATGTTTACTAATATTTTTAGTTGGTCACAAATTTTGCCAACAGCAGGAGCGATGGTAGCAAACCAAGCACAAGTTTTTGGCCAAGTTCTTGACTTTTATCTTGGTGATGGCAAAGAACATCTCCCGGAGATCAACCGTCTTGCAAAGCTCAACACAGCAGAAGCAGACGATATCCTGTTGCATTACCTGTTGGAAGGAATCAGTAAGCTATGTCTGTCTAATCTGTCAATACCACTTACTAACAATATATAGGAATGTACGGCACATTTGGTGCTTACCGCACATGTCATCAAAACATTACTGTCAACGATGGATCTCGCAAAGTCGATTGCAAGCCTGGCGATTCAGTCTTCGTCAGTTTCGTATGTCTCTCCCTCTGTAGAACTTATCAAGATAAACTAACAAAACCTCAGGTTTCACTGGCCCAGGACCCTAAAATCTACCCCGATCCAAAGAAAGTTCGTTTAGATCGTCCAGTTGATTCTTATCTCGTCTATGGCGTCGGTTCTCACGCTTGTCTCGGCGCCGAAGCTTCACGCGTAGCTCTTACAGCTATGCTCAAATGTATTGGCCGACTTGACAATTTGAGAAGAGCACCTGGTCCTCAGGGCGAAATGAAGAAGATCCCAAGAGAGGGAGGATTCTATGTTTATATGGATAAGATGATGGGATCTGAATTCCCCTTCCCGACGACGATGAAGATTTGTTGGGATGGAGGCTTGAATGAACCGGTACCGGTGGTGGAGAAGGGGAAAGGAAAGAAGAATGGCGCATGACCAGCTGGGAATGATGCTGCTGATCCGGAAGATTGGAATTGCTGGTGATGATTTGAATGGAACAGAATGGATAGGCTGCATTGAATTTGAATGGATGAAGAGGGGTCTAAACACGGACCTCCTGGGGATTATTTACTTGCAATTTCTTTCGCTTATTGGTCTGATGAGTTGGATTCGAATTTTGATTTGCGATAATTTGAAGGTTGAGGTGGCGAGGTTCTGCTTTTTATTTTTCTTGCTTCGTTCGATACCTTGCTATTTAATGCTGATTTTATTGAACTTTGGCGGAAGTACCTAACTTGGAGGAATTTAGCTAGCAATAATATCTTGCATTTTGGTTTCGTGAGACTTGTTCATTTGTAGATTGGTGAAAATTGAATATTTAGTGTTGAGTGTGTGGGTTCAGTATTGGGAACCTGGGGAGGATATGAAAGGAGCGGGGGATTTTCATCTTCATCAAGTCTTCATAGAATACAGGTGTGTGGCTCATATCTATGGCTGATTATTTGGATCCTGCTGTCAACGTAAACCAACTAGAGTGGCACAGATAGTCGTGTGTCTTTTTGGCATAGAGGGAAAAGTTTTATTGCGTGTAGGAGATCTATTATCTCGTTTATATTACATTACTACATTAGCACGCTAGTAGTATCTTACTAGGCGAGTGTGGCACCTAGTGCCGTTTCTAACACTAATACGCATCCGTGATGAGGTTTATGACTCGTTTGAAATTTTCTCTAGGTCTCGAGTGTGTGCATCGTGTGCATTTAGCTTGTTGGTTCGGATGAGACATGGATGCATCGGATTTATTCTTTCTGTTTTTACATCGTAGGGAGAATGAGTCTCGCTTGATTGATGATCTGTGGTAGCGAAATAGTTCGTCAGTTTATTGTGTAGGTGTTTTGTTGTGCTATGCCGGGGGTCATATAGAATGGAGATCCAATACTAGAGCGATAGAGAGTGAAAGATGGTATTGGTGAGATGCAAATAGCAAGGTCATGTGATTGTTATTGTATTGGTGTATAATGTCTGGCGGAGCCAAGGCTTTTGGCCTGGGGTTTGGAGACTTCCCTAGGAATATGAGGGTATTCTAAGCGATGGTCTTGATTATATAAATGCTTTCTGTAGGAAGCAGATCTGGCTTACATAGAGTTTGGGGTGGAAATACAATGGTCGATGACTTCGAAGAGCCGGAAAAGCAATTTTAAATACTAGAAGAAAATGATCAAAGATCTGGAGAATCAGATATATATGTCTACCCTGAAATGACACGGAATTTTATTGGTGTGATGATTTGGAAGGCATTTTCATTTGTTAGTTTCCGCTTCGAGGTGGGCAAAATAACGATTATTATGGAGATTGAACCACAAAGTGGAACTTTCGCGATAGTTGGAAACATGATGGTATTCAGTCGTATGTTTCAATACCAAGTTCAAGAAAAATGAAATATAAGCCCATCATCATCATCGTCATCATCATCATCATCAAGCTATCGTCGTACCTCATTGTCTCATTGTCTCATAAGTGATCAACCCATACCCAGCGAAACTTCTCACAACACCAATCCACATCAACTATCCAAGAGACTTGAGAGAAGCATATGTTTGGGCAATGCTAACTGCAAGTGATGCCATTGCTAAGAAAACACTGACAGCCCCGAAAATTATAACTCCCCAGAATGTATAATAATTGAAGGAATCTCGACTGTCTCTCCAGAGTTGTCGGAAACCTCGCGGTTTTTGCTTGTCCGTGTATTCTCGGAGTATTCGGACACGATGTTCAAGATGACCAAAACAAGCGTAAGGTATTTCAGATTCATTTCGTGCGGCGGATTCAATCTTTGACGAAGACAAATTGTGATACGAGTCTAGGAGGGTGTATTCTGACGAGGTTATGGAATCAGTATCCTTCCACATCTTTGCTGTTGGTTCTTCGCTGCGAGTACTTATGAGTCTGTAAAATCTCTTCGAGTCCTTTGAAGAGGTATGTAGCATAAACCAAGTTCGCTTAATGCTGTGATTCAATCCAAACGCATGGGAAACAAGTGATCTAGAGGATGGTTCTGGATCAAATACATCCCGTGTGTTCATGCTTTCAGATTGGTATGCGTCAGTAAATTCTTTTGAATCACACGAAGACAGACTCCCTTACCAATATTCTTCTGGACGCCCAGCTGGATACCCTAGCAAAGTATGTCTGATCCATGCGAGTAGTAACTCCTTACTTTCAAGATTGAGAAGAAGGTGCTCCTCTAGTACATCTATCCAGATTAATTTGATACCTCCGAGTTCTACTAAAGATTCTGTGTTTAAATCGTCAATCCTCAGGTGCTTTTAAGGGAGGCTTTCTAATCTGTGAACTGGGAGATTGATCTGCTGCTCACAGAAATAGATAATGATCATGAACTCAGTCAGTTCAAGCGCAAGAACGGCTTCAATATCGATATAATAAATCCACTCCTGGAATTTTGATTGAAAAGAAACTTGTTTAAAGACAGTTTCTAACCTTATGTAAGTATTGAAAATAGGAATGATATCTGCAAGCAATAAGATATCATGTAATTCACTACCTATCTCCCGATGAAGAACTCCAGAATCGTAACAAAACTCAAGCACGGATCCAGCTTTCCGTTCACCGGAACGACTGCCATATTTGCATAGTAATTCGGCACAGCAAATTCCAACGATAATGCAATCTTTCGAAGCTCTGATTGCAATCAAACGTCTTCGAAGCCATGTTTTTTGTAATGTTAGAGTCCACTGGCGACGGGCAACATTCGAGAATTCGTCAACCCAAAAAAGCTTTTTGTAATACTTCTCCCATGCTATTTCGAATGATCTTTCATAATCTTTGTCAGAACTGGCATCCCAATACTGGCGAAGAAGTTCACAAGTCGTGTCGTCTGGAAAGCCACTCAATTCATCTGCGTCAATCGTAAAAATCACGGGCGATTCTGCACTTATTTGTTTAAAGTTGAAAGGATTTCTCCGGGCTCTATCCAAAAATTGATCAACAATTTCTCCCTGGGCTGTTGTAAACCACGGCTGGTTTCTAAATTGTCGACTTGAATTATTGCTATATTGTCGACGAAGTTGGTCATCAGATTGTGACCCAGAGACTCTACCTCGTGAGGAAGATATTTCAACGTTTCGTTGATCTAGATACTCAAGTTCTGGATCATTATCTAATGCTTCATATTCTGGATCAGAACCGGCAGTCTTCGTTCTTCGCCGATTCTCCCGTAGAATTTGAATACCATGTTTCAACCACTCTTCTAGTTTTGCAGAGGGAAGCGTAATCGAGTCTTCAGCCTCGTTCTGCGAAAGTTTTTCGACACTGTTTGCGACTACCGATGATGTTAGATTTTTCGATGATGATTCTGGGATGTTGTTAGGAGAAGTATGCTGAGGTGTATGTGCATCTAGAAGATCAGTCAGTATTTTTGATAAGAACAAACATACATTCCGTCTATTTCCCCTACCTAAGGATGGTATCTGAATGCTTAGTTCGTCCTCGCCATCCCCATTTGGTATGCCTGACTGGCTCCGTTGGCTTACTGTTTTAACACTTGTCGATTTGATATCTATATTCACCATTCTGAAAGTAGCTTCAGTTGAATGAAGGAAGCAAAAGAAAATAAAACTCAATCTCTGAGAGCCTGATAACTCGCGAATAAGATGGTAACGTAACTCGAGGCTCCCATTGTTCACCCGCCTGCAGTGCAACCAATTCATTTCTTCAACCAGTGATACAAAATCCAGACTCTACATCGCATGCCCCTCAATAAACGATTGACACACTTCTTCAAGTACAAGATCTGCTCTAGAATGTAGGTGGGCAGATGAAAAGATGACCGGGAATATCTGAATATTCACATCTCAAACTCCAGGTACTCCCTTCTACTGCAAACCAAGCAAATCAATTAATACTATATCAATATACTATCACCCTATCGCAAAATCGTGTAGCTTGTGGCGTGAGATACATTTTGTTGAACTAATGAATCACAAATGAAAAGGTTCGTGGAAATTAGTTGTATTGACTAGGTTGTGTGAAAGAGGAGAGCTCTGAATAAGCTATTATATGCTTAGTCAGTTACTATACTGACGACGTTCAACACATTGTATCAAACTAATATCAGATAAAATCCAATATGCTCCACTTGAACCAAAATACGATTTCGAAGTGCCTTGTCGATGTTTGATTTTTTACTTGAGTGTTATGCACTAAATACATAATTATGTACAATATTTACAGTCCCCCCTCCCCTCCCAATCTCTCCATACCGCTCCTTTCAATTCTTCCTTTCCCCTCTCCATCACCTTCTCAACCTCCCAGTCCCTCATTTCCCAATCACCATCCCAAAATCCAAACCCATCCCCCAATCCTCTCAAAAAACACGCCCAAAATTACACCCAAAATTACACCCAAAAGAAACAGAAGAAAAAACTCAGGATACATGTACGCAAGTACATATGTATGTATGCATGTATGTACTCTATGATTATTAAGCAACTAATGTAAGTTATTTAGGTATGTAATGTGTGGTATCTCAACTATAGGCATTTCTCCCAGGTATATCGAGGACCTGAGTATTTTGGGTATTCAACTTCGACTTCTCTCGGGTATTTTCATCTCCTCTCCCCACTTTATTTTCTCCCCTTTCCTTTCCCCACCCTTCACTCCTTTTCGAAAGATAACCCTTCGCACGCACTAAGAACTAAAAAGTGTACAAAAGAACAAAAGGCATGATCACCCACTACGAACCATTCTTCCAGATCCACGCTCCAGCTCCGCGCTCAAGACAAATGTGACAAAAGAGAAGCCAGATAGCGTATAATATGTGCAAGAAAACTGTATCCGTCAAGGGGTGCGAGGGTCTCCATCCATCCATCCATATCCATCCATATCCACCCATCTATCCCTCGTAAAAAAGAAAAAAGATCCACCTATAACATAACATAATTGTTGGATCATGTTATGTTTGTTGTAGATCGTACCCAGAAAATCTCCCATTACTCTCTTTCTCTCATTCCCCAGTATCATGACATCTCTTTTTCTCTGTCGTCATCTGCACTTTATTCCTCCGTTAAATCTCCACTCAACCCACTTCCCACCGTACTCGCTTTTTTCCCCAACCTCAACACGCTAAACCTCTTCCTCACACTTCCACCAAATCCACTCCCATTACTTCCCATTCCAATACCCATTCCCATTCCCAGTCCCCCTATACCTTGACTGCTACCTGTTCCTGTGGTGCCTGGTCTGCGTTGAGAACTACTGCTTCTCCTTCCATTAGCTACGTTACTTGTAGTATAGTTTCCCTGAGGAGGCTGAACCGAAAGATCGCTCTGCGTTACCCATTCCTTGGAATCTTCCATGCTATGCGACAAATCGTTCTCTTGAGAAATCGCAAAATCATCTACAGCTTCTTTTCGGCCACGGTCCTTATGGGTTATGGAAATACCGTTCATACTTAATCCATTCCCACTAAAGAAGCTCTTGCGATTTTCTTTCTTCGAAGGGCGATTTTCTCGATCGTCGCTTCCATTTCGATTGAGGAGGAACGAACTGAGACGTTTAGAAGCACCAGTTGCGCGGGTGTGATCGGGACTATCGAGAATACTAGTATCGATAGTACCGTGTGTGAAAGATTGGGAATGAGGAAGTGCCAGATGTCCCTGTGAGTTATTCATGAAATCTCCCTTGGATGATGAAGGCGAAAGTGTCCAGCCTGGAACGAGGCCTGGGGAAGTATTTGAGAGAAGTGGTTGGGGGATTTGTAGAGAGGCGAGCTCGGACGCGAATGTTTGTTCAAAATCTGTATGACATGTAAGCAAAAGAAAATTATGAAGGAAAGATGAGGATTTACAGTGCTGCAGATCATCCTGGCTAAGAAGATTAGGCGATTTTGCAAACATAGCCAGGCATCTTTTGATCATAATTGCATGATCTATCAACGCAATTTTGAGGGCGTTTTCTATCGGCCCTAGCTCTACTGCTTCCCCTTCTTCGTCCTCACCCTGTATTGGATGAGGCAGCAATTCTCTATATCTCGCTATACTTGACTCAGAATTAGGATCCACGGATATACTTAATGCTTCGACTAAGAGTGGTGCAATGTCATCCTCGCCATCTGCAATCCTCTTTTCCACGGCAGTCATCTCTTGAGTTTTGCGAATGATTCGTTCAAGAGCTGTTTGATGAGCATCAAGCTTATATCTATCCACGGAAACAATCTCGCTGCGGCGAAGAATTGTTGGAAATGTATCTACAGTAGTATAGATTATTTTCTCAGCTGAATGATCACTGATTGGGCCTGAAGTAGTGCGACGAGATGTGGTAGAGAAATAACGAGGATTTGCGGAAAGTAGATAGTCTCGAATGCCTTGAGGGACTTTTGAACGTTGGAAGACGTGATGAGCAAGATCTCGATGCGGACTTAACGAGGATATTTGCAAAAATTGGCCCTCTACATCGTCCACATCGCCAGCAGTGACAATCTGAGCCGAAGGATGTTGCTCTTGCATGCGATCTGTAAATACCGAAGTTCGCTCATTAGGAGATCCCTCATACACAAATTCCTTATCGCGCAAGCTTTGAGGAAAACCCATTCCTCGGTAGATAACACGGAAGTACTTGGGAACGATTTTATCGGCCTTGGAAATTGATTCGTATATTGTGGCAATTGCTCGTTGTGCTCTAGCCAACTTAGAGAAATCGAAAACGTTCTCTTCGTATTGATATTGCAGTTCTTTGTATGCGGACAGAGCACTACTCCATGCCTCACCCTCTTCAAAGTTTTTGATCATGTCGAAATAAATTCTTTCCTTCCGATCGAAGTGAGATTGGGCAGGGAAATCTGGTTCGTCCAGTGGAGGCAGTATTTTTGAAGGATCCCATTGGTATAGGTCGGCATGAAGACGCAATGCAAGTCCGGCTTCAGTGTGGTTTCCAGCATTTGTTTGCAGCTCTGCAAGTTGATGGACGTATCGAATGAAGATATCCTCCTTCTGCATATCTCGAAGAAATTCCATTAATCGCAAGCGATGAATCATATGAGAAGCTTCACCAGTGACGTCCGTACTATTAACTGCAACGAGAAGATCGAGAAATTCATCAGTGGTACCAATGAGATCTTTTATAGCGTTGTAAAGCGGATCATCTGGATTTCGGGACAAGTTGTCAAACAAGGTGAATAGCTCATTGATAAACAATTTCTGTAGAATGCTTTCTGTTAAGGGCTTCGATTTGAAGAGCTGATCTAGGCACTCAATTATTCCAGTTTGAATGGCGCTTAAATCTTCACTCAAAGTCCATTCGCTGACAATCATGGTCTGTAGAACTTCCACGGCGACGCGCCTAAGACCTTCATGCACACTAAGGCACAGCTCGAGGATGGGTCCGACTAGTGCAGGCACATATTGAACTTGGTAACCTCCCATTTTGGCCAATGCGTATTTCTGTCGCTCTTCAGGGGTGGTATCCCAACCAGTGAACTCCCACGTTCGCCTCAGAAGCTCTGCGCCATTTTCACGCACATCACCGGCAATTATCCATACTGCTCTTCGTTTCTGCTCGGGGAAGGTTTCTAGTGCCAACGAATCACTGCCGACGAGTTTGAGTAAAGTAGTGAAAAATGCTTTCCACAATTCTGTGTTATACTCTTCCGCATCGTCAGGATGGGGCAAGAATCCGTCCAGAAGAATGCCGGCCAAATACTCGAGTGTTTTGAGTGTTGATTTGTGGTGGAAGATGCGGATGCTTAACCAGTTTTGCGGAAATGCCTCACATTCTAATATGCTTAGATGAATATTCAAGAGACCCTCGATTAGAGTTGCCATGTCGCCTTGTGCGAGCTCAAGCTGCATACCTGCAGGTAAATTTGAGATGGAAGATAGTACTGCCGAAAGCTCAACAAGTGCTTCATCGAATTCCGCTTTCTCAGCGATAACTTTACTGGGGAAAGGATACGCAGTGGGGAATAGCAACGACAAGCGAGTCTGCGACTTTACTTCGCCTGTACGAAGTGTAAGATATGAATCGACGATTTTAGGTATGTATACAGGAATTTCAGGGCCCAAATTATTCATTTGTATTGCCAAAATTGAACAGCAGAGTCGAACTTGCTCCCTCCATTGTTCGGTGACCTCTGTTGTCTTACCCCAATGCGGTAAGATCCACCTAGCCGTGTTCGCAGCGATAGCCTTCATCTGTTCGGGTTGAGTAAATAGATCCAGTCGAGAATAATTAATGATTAAAACAAGTTTATACAATATGAGTTTTCCCTTCACCAATGCACATGAATCCATGAAGTCAATGGCAATATGCAAAATCTGCTCTCTGCTGAGTAAGCCGGTAAGCTCTGGGAGCCAAGTATGAAAATGTTGCACAGCCAATGTTTGACTTCCTACCAAAATGGGTGCCGTGGTTCTCATCATCCCTTCAAGTGCCTTGAAAATTTGGCGGAGTTGGCGGCCAAACCCTGAACTCGAACGAGTAATCCCTATGTCTGCTTCCTTCACTTTCTGCTGCCCTCTCGCATGAGTGATGAATTTTAGAATATGTCGAACCACCTTAAATGTAGCACGTAGTT